TTGTCAGGTTTATACATGCACACACACACACACCCACACACACACACCCTCTCCCAGTGTAAAGTATGTGGTTACATAACAATAAAGTGATCTACACACGCCATGCTTTAAATGTACTTGTGTTGCATGAGGAGCATCGTTCCTCCTGCTCAGACGCTCGTTTGATATAATCCTGACTCTGCTGCCTCCAGCTGGTCGCACGCTTCTCTACATCTCATCATGAGTTATACTAATGTGGACCCGACACATTTACACAATTTGCAAACAGGAGTCTGTTTATTTATTGTCTTTATTTTCAGATTAAAATGTATTAGTTAGATCTGGAGGATACAAACACAGATAATATGATGAGAGACAGAGACGTCACAGAGGAAAGTACATTTAAAGTTTAAACCTTTATTTTAAATATCTTTGGCGTGTTTCTGAGCATCAGTGTCCCTTGAGCCCAGTTATTGTTATGAAGCACATTTAAACCCAGTGAAACTTAAACGGTAACAACACATGATTTAAAATGTACACATCAGCTCAGAGAATAGTCGTAAAGCCCCTTCAAAATAAAGCTTTACACTACACAGAGTCTGGGGTTTAAATCTCAAACAAACGTCAGTAAATAAAGTGAATGTTGGTCATCTTGTATGTGGTGGAGGAGAGTAACCAAGGATGTTTATTAAGAACTTTATTTAAGTATTTAAGTACTTTACTGGAATATTTGTTACTTTCAGTTACTTTACAGATCAAGATTTACAATAAATGTATTATTTGGTGCTTTAGTCGCATCATATTAAACATCTCGACGGCAACTCATTGATTAATATCACTGCAGGTAAAAGAGGAAACATATATATTCTGATATGGAGTGAGCTGTCCCTTTAAGCGTGATGTCACTCCGTTCCTCCCCAGTTGTCCAATCAGAGACGCATGATGTCATCGAGACCATCAGGTTCGGCACTCGTGGACCCAACCAGCCATCGCTGGATGAGAGGAGAGGTAGCTGCAAGAGGAGGATTATTATTATTATATACAGTCTATATTATACATTATTATAGAGATTATTCTTTACTTTTATATACTGTAATACAACTTTTGTTTATATTATTACTTTTTAAGCAACTAGATGCTTCATCATAAATACTCTATTACTACTTTTGTATTTCATGCAGAAAAACATTCGCCATCTTTAGGTATTTAAACAAACAATACCATCTTTTTCCTGGTGATAATAGTCTTTTTAAAGGTGCTACATAAATGAAATCATTATTATTAATATTATCCTCTTCTCAGGGGCACATGGTGTTTCTGTATGGGTGTGATATTATTGTTGTTGTGAAATTTAATAATGGCTTTATTCATATAGCACCTTTACAAAGTGCTTTGACAGATAAGCAATCAAACAACAGAAGGCTCAACAAAGCAAAACAAACTAAGAACACAGAACAATAGATAAAAACAATCGACACGATAAGAACAAACTAAGAAATGGAATAAATTAAAACATATATTTAGTTTAATAAAATAATATCGATATTGAAATAAAGCAGTAAAGCGACGACATCACATTAAATGAAAGTCAAACAGCTGTTCTCACCTGCAGCTTGTTGTTGTTGTTGTTTGGACCACTGAGCTTGTCCCCATCGGTCTTGACTCCTCTCCCTCCCCGCTGCAGAGATCGACAGCGCCGCCATCTTGCAAACGCTGATTCTCTCCTTGTTGCCTCCGGCTCCGCTGCCGGTGCTCCTGATTGGCCGGTCGCTGCTGCTAATGACCCTCCCCCCCGTGCTGTTGGTCCTCCCTGACCCGGCGCTGTTGAGTTTAGACCCGCTTCCGGCACTGCTGACGCGACTACCGCCAATCTGCGAACTGCTCAGCCACCCCCCAGGACTCGGGGCTCTTTGGTTGCTGGTTGACCTAACTGCACCTGATCGCCCTCCTGCGCCCCCCACGGTGCTCCTACGTCCGCTAGCCGAGCTGTAAACGGGCTTTGATTCACCACTGCCGGTGCTACTAAATCTCTCAGAGCTGCTAGTCATGTGGCCTCCAGGTGAGCTGCTGAGCTTGCTGCCACTACCCGAGCTTCTTAACCTTCCGCCACTACCTACGCTGCTGCTGCGCCTAACAACACTACCACCACTACCGGCGCTACCAAGTCTTGGTCTACTACCTGTGTAGCTACTTGGCGGGCTGACGACTTGGCCATAATTGGCGCTGATGCTGACCCCATCTGCATTACTGGCACTGGTTCCACCATAAACTCTCCACTCTCCACTATCTCCACTGTCAAACCTCCGTGCTCTTGGTGCTCCTGGTGGGCTTGTTGGTAGTTGCCTGGCAACTGACGAGCTTTCTTCGCTATTGCTACCGGCCACGATGCTCACACGTCTGGTGCTCCCACCGTAGACTGTCCACTCTCCACTCCCTCTGCTACCAAATCTCCCTGTTTCTGGAGGGCTTGTTGGCAGGTGCATGGCCGCTGACTGGCTTTCTCTGCTCCCTGCGATGGGTAAGCTATCACTGCGTTTAAGACTGTGAACCATCCGCTCTCCACTTCCTCCACTACCAAACCTCCTTGTGTCTGGCGGGTTTGTTGCAGGCAGCATGACTGCTACCGGACGTTCTTTACTCCCTGTTCTGGGCAAGCTGCTCTTATGTCCAAGACTGCCTCCATAAACCATCCACTCTCCACCCCCTCTACTGCTGAATCTCCCTGTTTCTTCTGAGCTTGTTGCAGGGTTTGTGAACACTGATGGTCCATCTTCTTTCCCTTCCCCGGGTAAGCAAATATCACCATCCAGGCTCCTCTTACGCCCAAGACTGCCACCATAAATCATCCACTCCCCCATTCCTCCACTGCCGAATCTACCTGTTTCTGGACGACTTGTTCCGGGTGGCATGGCTCCTGATGGACTTTCCTCTTCGTTCCTTGTGCTGGGCGATGTCGTCCTTGTACGTCCTAGACTGCCGCCATAAACCATCCAGTCTCCACTGCCGTGCCTGAATCTTCCCCGTACCTCAGCCTCTGTATTGCCGTTGATTGCACGTGATGAATTAGCAGCTGTGCCACCACAACTAGCTGCCAGATCACTAACCATACCACTACCTCCTGACTGACTACCAAAGGTAGTTCCTCCATTGGCGGGGACACTTCCAAAGCTAGCTGACTTAACAAACACTTGATCACTGTTTTTCTGTCCCCTCACCTCGCTGTCCATAATAGAAGTCTCTTTCTGGTCTTCTGAGCCATACCTGCCTCCTGGACTGCGACTTAGATGCTGGACATCCTTGTTATCTGCGATACCACTTGTGTCTTTGTACCTGTCTCTGAGCCTTTTCTCATCTCTGGCACCTTTCCGATACAGGTCTCCAAAACCAAGCTCTTCTTCTTTGTCTGCAATGATACTACGACTGCCTGGACCTCCGAACTCAAAGCCTCCAAGACTGCTGCTCGGCTGGAGGCCAACCCCTTGACTGGTTGGTCTAGAATCAATGATTGTACCATTCTCCTCTTCGGGCAAAGCTTGATCTCTGCTAAATGAGAGGGACTGGTCTTCCTCTTTTGTAGAGAGAATGTATTTCTCGACCGGTCTCACGAGTGTTCTCGCCTCAGTTAGATTCAGGCATACGTCTTCATCTTCTTCTTCACCATTTGGTCTCAGACACCCCTTCGCCCCAACTGGACTCAAACATGTGTCGGAGTCATTTGGGCTGAGAAACATTTCTGGGTCATGTGGACTCAGAAGAGAATCAGGACTTTGAACATGCTCCTCTGGATCAACAGGGCAAAATCCTTGATTTTTCATGCTCATTAACACCTCAGTCTCAACTGGGCTCAAACATGTTTCTGGATTCAAGCATGTGAATGGATTTGTTGGGCTCAAGAATACGGGAGCTTCAATTGGACTCAGAATCTCTTCATGGTCGGAAGAACTCAAAGCCACACCAGAATTTGTTAGACTTACAGACTTTTTTGACTTTGTGGTACTCAACAATTCTTCTTGACCTGCTAGATCAATAATCTCATTGTCCAGTTCATTAGGGTCCACCTTCACCTTGTGAGCATCATGGAAACCAATGATAACCTTCCCTTTGTTCATTTCTAATTCCACTTTGTTTAAAATCTCTGTACTTGCAGTTTTACTTTCATGGTTGTCCTTGCTGTCTGGGCTACCGGATGAAGCAGTTGCAAAACCGGACCCCATACCTGCATCCTCCATGACTTTGTTTTGTTTGCCAGTGGATCCATTGGACAATGTACTTTCTACTTCTTCTTCTCCCTTCTTTAATTCCCTTTCAATGTCCTTGTCATCGATCAGGGTCAACTCACCAGAGACCTTACCCTGAGAGTCCTCAGATCTAACAGGAGGTCCAGAGACAACAGATGCTGTAACACCAACTTCCCCTGCATCCCCATCAGCTTCTGCTGAAGTCTCCAAACTCAAAGACACAACCTGTGCAGGATCTTGGTTCTTAATCTGGAATGAGCCCTCAATGCAAATCATTTTATCTCGAGTTACAGTCTTTGTCTCTTTCTTTAACTCTGCAGCAATTTCTTTGCTGGGATCAATTGCGGTTATGTGTGTTACGGAACATGGTCCTTCCTTTACTTCTGATTCTGCACAAACAATGTTTTTTGTGATTTCTGTTTGACTGTTTGTCCCTGTTTTTTTATTCTGTAAACCAGCTTCTGTGGTAACTTGTTTGGAAGTAAAACTTTCTGGTTTTGCCTGAACAGCAGCACTCCTTGCAGATTGCTTGTCAGGAACCAATGTGGTGAATCCTTGTGTAGCATCACTATCTTTACTGTGCGTTTTATCCTTTACGGGGCTACTCTGCCTGTCGATCGTAATGGAAAGAGATCCAGTTCTCTGGTTTTTAGACTTGTGGAATGATCCAGTCAGATTTGAAGTATTAATCGATCTTGCTAGTAAGCTTTTGGGGTGTTTTATGTGGACATTCTGAACCCTCATTATCCTGATATTTCCTCCCTGAAAACTGACTGTTTTGTTCACTGTGATGTTTCTCCCGAAGGCCGAGGGACTACTCGGCCCGCAGAAAGATCTGACGTTAGAAGTTGAGTAAAGACTTGAGAACCTGTGAACAACAGAACATATGAAGCCAAGAAGAAGATCAGACCGGACATTATTTTTCAAGGCACAAAAGTGTGAAAGGTGAGCAACTAAAGAATATCTTGGTAACAGCTTACTTTATAGGTCCTACAATTTAGAGATAGACATACATTACATATACAGTGTGTATATATATATATATATATATATGTGTATATGTAAATATTAAGTACACAATCATTAATCAGAATTTAGAGTTTCAAATTTTCTTTGAAGGAACTATAAACCCATGTAAATATGCGTGTTTGTTAGAAACCTTATTTTTTCACATTTGCCAAATTGCACACTTAAACGGAAATTTTGAACCAAACTGAAACAGTTTCTTTTTACATTTTTGCAGGCTCAGATTAATCTACCATTTATTGAAAGTGCTCCAACTGAACACTTTCTCCATTTTCCCTGCAATGATATTTTCTTTTCCATGAAGTTTTTCAAAAAGATACAATGCAAAAAAAGCAAAGAAGTCATCATGTCGTACCCCTGTCGGCTCGGTCCATCCAGCAGCCTCTTGTAGTCCTGTATCTCGGTTTCTAGTCTGCTCTTGATGTCCAGCAGGACCTGATGGTCTGCAGCCTGCTGAGCTGCAGCCTGGAGCACTGAGTCCAGGTCTCTGCACAGACCGTCTGCTCTCTGCTGAAGATCCACCAGCTGCTGCACGAAGGACTCGGTCTGCTCTGGACCAGAGGCCTCTAACTCCATGTTCTAGACGGACAGACAGACACAAACTGGGTATTACTGTTCTGATTGATGTCAGCTTCACTGTTCGGGGGAGTTCTTTAGTGAATGGTCAGTTCTCCCTGTATTTAATTCAGATTTAGTTGTATCTCACCAGAGCCTGCAGGTGTGTCAGCTCTTCCTCCAGAGTCGCTACTGTTCTCCTCAGGTCCTCCAGCTCGGCCCGGACGACCTCCGATCCTGCTGGAGGGTCAAGCGTCACCTCCGGAGAACTCAGCATGGACGCCTGAACACAACATACCTGATGAAATGTTGTTTGTACACATTTTAAAAAACACTAAAATGAGAGCTGTAGTTATAGAACATTCAAAAATACGAAACTCATATTTCAAAATAAGAGTGTGCTGTAGATGTGTGTGCACCTGGGTGTTGAACCAGAACTCATTCTGGTTATTGTCATGCAGCATCACACTCGTCTGTCTCAGGTCATCCAGCTGCTGGATCAGGTGTGATGACCCAGTACTCTGCATCTCCACAGCGACGCCCCCTGAGCCCTGAGCCAGGAGAACCTGCGTGTCCTGGACAGGTAGACAGGAAATATGATGAAGACGTTCATTCAAATAATCCAGGTGAGGGTTTTTCTTTTGTTTTACCTGTTGGCGTTGTATGTGGACCTCCATCAGTTGTTGTGTTTTATCGCTCAGCAGAGTCTGGAGCTCCGGCAGCGTGTGGACCTTCAGCACCTCCTCCAGCAGCCTCATGTTGTTAAGGTCCTCCTCTACACCTACACCACGCTCACGCTCCTTTTCACACCTGTGCACACCAGCAGGGGATGATGGGATATATTTGTGTGCTGTGTGTGTGTGTGTGTGTGTGTGTGTGTGTGTGTGCGTGCGTGCGTGCGTGTGTGTGTGTGTGTGTGTGTGTGTGTGTGTGTGTGTGTGTGTGTG